TTGGGTAGAAAGCGGGGTTTAGATCTCCTAGGAATTGGTTCAAGCCCCGTAATATCCAGAAGAAGAAATAGCTTTGAATTTTTCTTTGGATCTTCTTCTCTTCGAAGTCTTCCGCAGTGGAGCTTCTTGGTGTCTCTTCATCTTTCACATTTAGATTCTATAAAGGCTCCGGGGAGCACCTCATGAGAAATTCTTAGTATTCCAGCTTTTCGGAAACTTTGCTTGGACTCCTATGTAACGTATTTGAACTTGTGGAAGGCCGAGCAGCCTTGTTTTTTCATGAAACGTCCGCAAGGCGACCTTGAAAAGTGCATCTATGTGAGATACTTGGCGCATCCGAAAGGGTTTATTCAGCACCCACCACTTCATCCTTCATCCCTTTGCGAATCCGATAACAACTTATTGCACCAGGAGGAATGTAAAGATCGGCTGTCTAGGGAGCAATTCGATCCGAGATTGGGTGCCTGACTGGGCCCGAACAGGCGGCACCACCTGGCACTACACTACTGCCTTCATAAAAGATACTAGTAACATCTATTCTAGTGTCCATCCCTGCAACTGTTCGATGGCAGAGCATTGAGCCACATGCTCCACGAAACAAAATTCCAACCGGCTCACCAACTTAAACGTGTGAGTGCTGTAAGTTAAGGCATAAGCCGTTAAGCTGAGAGGGTAAAAGCGGCCCTGGTGGCGTAACGGATAGCGCACTCGCCCGGAAAGCGTGAGGTGCGGGTTCGACTCCCGCCTGGGGCACGACTTTTGCCCACAACTCAGCATTCTTGTGATAACATTCCAACTGTTCATGTTAGTGTTCACTTTACTAGCTGCTTAGCCTAATCGGAGGGTGACCGCGCCGCAACCGCGCGCAGTGATTATCGGGTGTATACTGCTTACTAACCTTAGTTTTCTCACACTCTGCATGGTATAGAAAGGTACATCATTGCCTGAGTGTGCATCCTTCTTAATACTGTAAGAATATTCTCAGTAGCATGTCTGATTAATCTGCCCATGTTCTCTGTTTGTTCTTTCATTGTTCAATTTCCCATATTTTTTAGAGAGAGGCAGGATGATTCGCGTCCCCTTGTTCTCGTCAAGCGACACTTGCCGAGCACCGTACTTCTCAACTGCTCGATTATACGTGCGATTATCGAGGCCCTACCAATGATGCACATGCATACTTCAAAATACTCACCTCAGCTTGCTTTTGAGTCGAGAATGTGCAAGGTAGTGTCTATTCTCAAAAACTGGCTCCTTCGTCGAAATCATTCACTATCCGGGCCCTAGCACTCGCGGAAAAAAATAGATCTTGTAGTATCATATAGCTGCAAACTGCTTGCCTCTGGTGCCTGCACTGCAAAATCGCAACGGCGCCTTGGAGTTGCTGCTGCGGAGGGCGGCAGTGTTTCGCCGGGTGTCACGACAGAAACCATTCCACATTATCAAAAGTGCATGAGAACCGGCATTCATTGCACAGTATTTCTTCTCAAAAAAATACGAACCTGAAGAAGCACTGAGTGCAAGTTGTCGAGAGTTATTAGAGACTCATGTCCCATTCTTCGTTCCTGCCTATTGCCCTTTACGTGACAGTTTCCAGTCTAATTGCATCAGCCGGAGCGCACGCTGCATACCAGACGGACCTGCCTAGCTAGTCGGCACTCATGCCGCCAGATGAACTTGGTCGCGGGAGCGTTCTTTCACAGCTGCACTACTGCATGGGATTGCGTACGCCGAGGAGGAAGTAGCTTAGAACAATAGGCAGCAATTCCCTGAACAATCACAGGGAGTCGGACCCAAACTATGAATAAACAGGCGTAAGGACACTATTTATCCTTTACTGCCCCTTCCGTAAGGGCACTATTTACCCTTTACTGCCCCAGTCATCTGAAATCAGGCCAGTTCCTGACCGACTTTTTTCTCCGTGGACAGAATTCGATGAAAACTTGGCTCCCCAGAAAAGGAGTTCGTGTGACCCCCTATCACGAATATCACATCCGCTCGGCGCAAAACCTCCTGCCGCCCGCGCTACAGGTGCTGGCGCCAAAACACCTCAAATCACCGGCGCCTGTGGCGCAGGCGCCAGGAGGTTTCGGGCAATGTGAATGTCATATTCGTATTCAGGAGGTCAAAATACCCCAGGAGACAACATTTGAGCCAAATCTGTCCACGGAGAAAAAAAGTCTCCGGTCAACAAACTGGACTCAATTCGGGGACGTTGGCAGTGAGGGTAAATCAGTGCCGGCTTATGGTTACGGTATGCTCACACAGTCCCAGCTTTGATCAACCACTGTACCACGCTACGATGAATCAGATGGTGAGTCGAGTCAAACTAGCTAAGAAAGCTGTCTCCGCGCCGAACGATGTAACTTGCAATCGAATAGCTTCCTGGGTTTGGCTTGACGTATTGACGAACGAGGACGGACTAAGAAAACTAGTGTTGCTTTCTCTCAGCCTCTGCCCACCAACTATTTAAGCTTATCTTTCACTCAGTATGGGATTAGATCCAAATATAGAGCCATTGTAAGTCACTAACTTACGAAATGGTAATTTATGAGGTCTGAATCGCGAGACACTCTTGAAACAGTGTCGTCACGAAACCCTGGAGAGATTCGCACAAAGCGACAATCTCCCTACGCCAACTACGGTGGTGTACCAGCAGGATCGTGCTGCGCCTGCACTCAAGGAACGCCTGGACCTCGTGATCCGCGTGGTCCTCCAGGAGATCCCGGACAACCTGGTGGGTACACAGTTTTCGAGAGCTTTTTCTGTATGTAAAAACGACCAGTATGAAGAGTTCAATAACTCATCTGGTAAGGATAACGCCACCGAAGTAGCCGGGTGGGCCACATAGATAGCGCGTAACTTCAGACAACCCTTCCTCTTTAGGAGTGGACGGCTTTCCTGGACGTAGTGGTCTTAATGGAAGGAATGGAAAGTACCTGCCTGCACCACCTCCTGGAACAAACGCTTGTCAGAAGTGCCCTCCCGGACCACCGGGACCGCCTGGAATGCCTGGAGCAAAAGGTTCGTTACAACTTGGTTTCGCGGCACTATTTGCCTTTTCACTTGGCCATATAGTATTCTTGGTAGGAATACATAAAATCGATATCAAATAACAAAACAATTTAACAAATACAATGCTAGGAAGGAAAAGGACAAGAGAAAAGTTTGCATGATTCGGAAATATAATTCATTGCAGGTGATCGGGGTGAACCTGGCAAACCCGGCACTCCTGGTCGTGTAGGTGAAGACAATCGACCTGGACCACCGGGGCCTCCAGGTGTTCGCGGTGAACCGGGGCCACCTGGACCAAAAGGTCCAACAGGAGATCGCGGCAAGGTTTTGAATGGAGCACCTCCTGGTCCTCCTGGACCTCCAGGAAAGGTCTGTACTTCAACTAGTCCTTCAACAATCTCTCTAGCTATTGAGTGTCCATTTCAGGTTGGTCCACGTGGTCCACCAGGAACCAAGGGTAATGACGGAAAGCCTGGAGTAATGGGTAATCAAGGAATTCGTGGTGCTGTTGGAACGAGAGGAGATCCAGGAAACCCAGGTTTACCAGGTCCACAAGGTCCTAAAGGCGAACCTGGATATCCTGGTTCTTGTGCACATTGCGAAACTGCGGCTTCAAAATCGCCGGCATCGAGCTCTAGCTCTAGCTCCGCTTCCAAAGAGAAATATAAGGACACCGGTTATAAGGAGAATCTATCGGGCGAATCAAACAACGAGTTTCTGTGGATACATTAATCGTTCAGTGAATATTGTCTTTTTGAGTAGTAATTTTTTTGTTGTAATATTTATTTGCCAATAAAAAAGGATAAAGTCTTCGCCGTTGATCAATCCCTTTGTGGGATGCGGCACGCATTCTACTTCCATTCAGAATCGTAGTGGCTTATTGAATGCGATGTGGCCTATACAATGACTTGCGGTGGCCAGCCGATGTACAAGTCAGTGTTCTCCCAGACGAATCTGGTACCAATTTACCGTCCCCGAGGGTAGAAGGCTTGGTTGGCCTGGGCTGGAGTCGGGATTCGAACCCAAGACCGCGAGGGTGGTAGCACGCCACTTGTCGCTACACCACCTCAGCCTTTATTTGTTAATATAAATCACGTTAAGCAGCATGGTAAAAACGAAATCGTGAAAGCGCCCTCCACGGTGGTCATATGGGCGGAGACAGTAACTACTTTAGTGGCGTGCTCTTCCTCTTACTGCCTGCGAAGGGTAGAGCATCACGGAGAGAGAATCAGTTGTGAGGCTCACCCGATCCCTTCCCTTTGAAGAGCCCATATCCTATCACGCCACATGTTTCTTGAAAATTTTCATGCTTTGGCAGCCCCTGTCATCGTCTGTCTGTGCTACATGGTTTTAGACCAGGGCCGTACACAAAGTTCAAGATGTCACGTATCTGATCAGCCCCTCCAGAAAGCTTCAATGAAAGGCCTATCCCTTGATCTCCCGGATCCATTTATTTTTTGTCGCAAATTACATGTTTCTGCCCTCTACCACTGTGATAATTCTGCACGAAGGAATTCCGCCTGGAGTGTTCTGGATTGCCACCAGAACCTGCCGGTGCATCTTTTCATGCGTGCCTGATTGATACGTATAGCCCATAGAAACCATTGAGACATGTGATTATGACCCGCAGGTATTCCATTAGTTACTCAAAGCCTGATATCGCCTAAACTGAGAATAGCAGCAACCTCACCTGATTAACGGAGAAACACGACTATACTCAGCTAAGATCTACCACATCGACCGTCGAGACCACCGTCTCTACCTTCTAGACCACTCCGCCTCATATACAATATTCTACAACAAACATAAATAGCAGCAACCTCACCTGATTAACGGAGCACACAAAGCCCTTGGACTAACGCAGAAGTGTCTCGATTTATTTATTTGCCAAAATCCGCACGAAATAGTGAATGGGCACGTCGTTCATTGGGGATTCATAGCCCGGCGAGGAAGGGGTCCTATTTGGTCGTTGGAGGGTGAGTAGGGGTCGTATTTGTTGTTAAAAAAGATGTTCTTGTATTCTTTTCTGTATTAGGTTGTTGATCTTTCCTTGTTTTCCCCAGCTTCAGGTGAGCAACGTACCCACACCCGGTCGACGGCAATAGGGCGAGGGAGCGGGCAAGAGAATCGTAAATTGCCGCTTTGTCGCGCGCGGCAATGGGCGCGACGTTTCCTTAATTTGCACTACCCTTTCGATTGGAGCATCGGATTTCATGTAGACAAGGACATGGTGGACACTTATGTCTATTTTTGGTCACACATTGTCTATTCTCGACCAATACCACCTGAAATCGTCGTCATTAGCGGGCGCGACGTCGCACGCGACGCCCACTGGCGCGGCGAATTGCGATTCTCTTGCCACATACCCATTTGGCGAATTCTTGGAAACAAATTCCGTAAAAGTGGTAAAAAGTTTGGGAGATTGGGGGATGGCGGGTAGTAGTGGTGGGAAAGCGGATCGTATCCAAGGGAAAAGTTTGAAGGGGGGGGGTCGTTACCAACGCAGAACCTGTCTCGATGAAAATCCCCACTGGAGTATCAAGCTGCAGATCCACCACTACCTACCTAGTGTACATCATCAAGTAATCAATGTGGGAATCGTAGAAATCTTTAAATGTGCGCAGTGGCAGCCCTTGTTCGAAACAGGGTATTATTCTCTAGGGCAGGTCTAGCTAGCACCGGTGCTTACCAGCCACCGCTATAGTAACAACGTTTTTGCCTCCTTTCCTCATACTGTAAAAGTGAGAGCAAAAGTGTTCTGATAATGCTATCATGGGTTGTATAACGGCACAATCCATGATAGTGGGACTGGGAAGTGACGTTGATTTGCGGCCTTGTGGGTGATAAGTTAATAGTTGGTAAAAACGAGCATGTGACTACACAATCGTAATTCGGCGCGTTGGTAGGTGTGGTGAGCGACGCCGCACGCGACAGGCGAGTTGTCCTGCCTGGCCGTTTGAGGCTAAGCGTCAAAAAAGGGAAACTCATTATCGTCTGTCATGGAGTTCTGTCTCCGCTTGAATTTATATGATTTTCGGTGCTCCAATCGACAAAGTGATGCATATCGAGAATCTGCCGCTCATCGCCGCGCGCGACGAGGTGACAAATGACGATTGTTCTGTCCGTCTCCTAGAGGACACAAACAAAGAAACAGTTGGATAAAACTTTCCTTCTTGGGGTGTATGTTGTTTCGTAAAATCTCATTGTTACTGACGTATCAAGAAACCATGCTACGCGTCGTCGTCACAGGTAGAACAACTCGTCCAAGTCGGAACTATTGACCAAGTCGGATTCCTCTAAATCATAACTAGGAGCGCCTCAAAGACAGCTGGCACGATAATTTCATGTACACCTTAAAAGGAGCAAAGGTGCCCAGTAATGCAAAAATAGTGAAAAAATGGGGCGAAATGGTGGGGAAACAACGAGATGGGGGCTTTATTTCTTCGCTGCACTGCGGCAGTAGACAAGCGAACATCTGAGCGGGCGCTGGTTTGGGCGACTACCGACTGAACCGTTTACCGTTGGCAAAAAGCCAGCAATAAACGGTTCAATACCTTACGTTACACACATCGCGTAGTCACGGGCAGTCCCGTCAACGCGTAAGCACACAACACTGGTAAAGAATTGGGCCATCTGTCCCGCTCGTCCGTGCGCCTCTCGCTCTCGACGCGCCAGCAGGGCAAGCCGTTGTTGTGATGATCACAGCGGGGGAGGGGGGGGGTCGTATTTGACCGCGAAGGGAGTGGGGGGCTCGTTTTTGGTCTGGGAAAAATTTTTTGGTAGTTGATTTCTCTTGTTTCACGGACGGCTATAAAGGGGTGGGGTCGTATTTGGCCGTTGTTGAGAGAGGGACTGCCAAAGATCTATACAACTACTATTTCCGATAGTTGAAAATGATAGTAAATCCTGACGACCTCCCCCCCCTCCCCTGACAGCAAAATTTGGGGAAAAACCAGAAGCAAATTTCGGAAAAACTGGTAGGAGGTTAGGGGAAAATCTGGGAAATTTTCCCCATTTCTCAGTGGGTATATACCCCCCCTCCTCGCTCGTCGACGGAAAATTCTTGCTTGAAAAACGTGGAAATTTTTCGCGAAAAATGGAAGGAAGTTGGGAAAATCTAGGCAAGTGGTAGGTAGCATGGGGAGGAGCCGCATTTGAGTGAGGATAGTATTAGGGGGGTCGTATTTTTCAGGAAATGATCTTAATGCGATGGCGTGCCCTGCGCGCCAGACGATTTGCTTCCCGAAGCGAGAGGGTACACGAACGAGCGGGACAACTTCCGCGTAAGTATCGCAGGGAGGGAATCTCGCTCTCGCTGAGCGGATGATTGCCGACTTTCTGTATAGATGCAGATGTGCCAGGCACCTGGCGGGCACCCCGAAGTTATATAGTTGACTCGAGTAAGGTGGTTTTGAATGTCAGCGTTGCTCTTAGGCTGCGTTTGTGACAGTAGAGAATTGACGAATTGAAGAAGTTGATTGCAGAACGAAAAGGATTAGGTAAGTATCGATCTGCTTCGGCCATTCATCGGTTCTGCAATTATGCAAGTCTTCGTCTCAGAATACTTCTCAACCACGCAAGCCTGCCCTCTCTTTTCCCTTCCTCGTCTCTCCTTCCTTCCTACTCTCCTTCCTCTTCCTTTGCCTTCTTCCTTCAACTGCTGGGTCAGTAGATGCAATAAGGAAACACCTCTGGGCTCTCGCAACGAGAGCATGTCGGGTTGACAGATGCCCTATATTCTGCAATTCTTCATTTCTTCAGTTTGTCAATTCTTCACTGCCGCAAAACAAAAGCACGGGCGGCGCAGTTCAGCGACGGGAAGGGGGGGGCATTTTACACTTTACTTTGCTCCACCATTTACGGTTTACAAATTTCACTGTAGTGTAACCCGTGAATTCTTGCGAAGCTGGCAGAGTCACCATGGTAAATGGCATTTATAGTTAAGTGACAACTGAAACTTTTGGTGGGAGTCCTGCCGCGATAGGCCAGAGCGCAGAGCAACAAAGAACTGCGACTGCTAACACATCGTGAGGTATGAAAAACATGACGCGAGCCAGGAGATGAAAATTTTTTCGAAGGGAGGGGACACCGGGGTGGATGAGCCACTTAGTATGCGTGAAAAGTTGGAATGTGAAAGGTCAAGAGTGGCCATAAATCGCCATTCAGGCAAGAGAGCGCAGAGAAAAACAGAAAGTTGGCGCCATTAAAGGAATTGAGTTTCCAGTTGTCCGTAGACCAGGACTCATTCCAGATCTTCTCCGACTTTCGAGGCTTTCAGTTTAGTGTCACCTTCATTTTATCTTCTCTTTACTGCATGAAGTTTTGCATGGGCGTTACGACCCCCCTCCCTTATTTTTCATCTTTTTTCCTCAATTATTTCCCTTATGTTGTCCCTGACTTATTTCGTCAACCCTACCCTCACTTGCGAGTCCCACGAAATAATGATGGTGGTTAATGATGGTGGACGAAATAATGATGATTCGTTTATTTTTCTTTGTTTCTAATTGTTAGAATAAGACAAAAAGGTATGAATCTATAGAGGCTCTCTCAGGGCTACACAAATATGGGCTTTTTCTGCTTCAAAATTAAAATTCTGCATAGCAGCTGGGGTGTAAGACACCCTCCGGGAGTAGTTCAGTAAATAGATAAATGACTCACCACACCCAGGGCTATTCTTTATTTGAAACAATCATATGCAAAATGTTGGGCATTTGAAAATTCGAACCTACTGG